AAACTGAAATATTACAGGTTATATTACAAAAAAATACAAAGACCAATTATCACCAACTACAAACAATGCTATTCTAAAACATGACAACCTAGAAAAAAATGTACAAATTCATGGACGTATATACCTGATCAATACTGAATAAGAAAGAAATAGAAACCTGAACAGATCCAGAAAGAGTAACAGAAGGATTCAGTAAAGAAAATCTCCGATCAACAGAAAGCTCATGACCAGTGGTTTCACTGTTGAATTCTACCAAGAATTTACTGAAGGACTAGTACCAATTCTTCTCAGTTACTCTAAACTGAAAAGGAAGGAATTATCCCAAATTCTTTCTATGGAGGTAACATTACTTTGATATTGAAATTAAACAAACAACAAAACTACAAATAAATATCACTGATAAGCAGGTGCAAAAATCCTTAATAAAACACTTAGTAATCAAAATGCAACGACTCATTGGAAACGTAATTTATCCCAATCAAATGGAATTCATTCAAAAGATACAAGGATGGTTCAAATCATGAAAATCAAAAAGTACACGAGGCATGGTGACTCATGCCTTTGATCCTAGCACTGGAGACACAGAAGGAGGCAGATCACTATGAGTTCAACATTAGCTTGGTCTATATGGTGAGCTTACTGTGCAAGCCTGGTAAACTGAATTTGAGTCCTAGAATCCATATAAGGTTGGAAGAATAGAATCAACTCCATAAACGTGTCCTCTGACCTAGATGTGGGTGGTGGTGTGTATGTCCCCCCCCAATAATATTAACATATTAAAATTATTATCATTTCAATAGACACAGCAAAAAGCATTTGATAGATTTCAACATCCTTTCATGTAATAACTATTGTGTCCCAAGGTCCTGGTTCCTTCAAGGGGCAGAGCCTGGTGCGGGGAATTGACTGCAGAGAGTTAGCCACAGGGAGGCGTGTTGGGTGCCATCTTGGGACAGAAACTGTGGCACATATGAAAAAAGATGGCCCCAGTGTCTCACATGTGTGGATGCGAAAGGGGGCATTTACCGACCTGGGGCGAGACTGTGGGCCCACAATGTGTGGGCAAAAGCTAACGGAGTCTATGGGTAGGCATGGAAGCAATCTGGAACAGTGGGCCGAGCTGCACCCCCAAGATCCTGGTTCCTTCAAGGGGCAGAGCCTGGTGCAGGGAATTGACTGCAGAGAGTTAGCCACAGGGAGGAGTGTTGGGTGCCATCTTGGGACAGAAACTGTGCCACATATGAAAAAAGATGGCCCCAGTGTCTCACACGTGTGGATGCAAAAGGGGGCATCTACCGACCTGGGGCGAGACTGTGGGCCCACAATGTGTGGGCAAAAGCTAATGGAGTCTATGGGTAGGCATGGAAGCAATCTGGAACAGTGGGCCGAGCTGCACAGAGCTGGGTGACGGGTGTTCGTTTCTTTGTAAGTCGCTCTACCCCCCAAAGATATAAACTATGAAAAATTCAGATAAAGATATGTTATGTAGTTTGTCTAATAGTGCCAGCGGCAAGGGACGCTAGAAAACTCAGGCAACAAATAAGAACAAATTCAGGATGGAAGGGATGTATTGCTACATAATAAAAGTCATAGGCTGTAAGCCCAGAACTAGCACCATTACAATCAGGAAAGTTGAAAACTCTCTAGGACCTGAAACAAGACATGACTGTTTATACTCACTACATTTTTTCAAAATAGTGGTGAAAGGCCTCAGCAGAACAAAGGCAGAACAAAGAAATAAAGGTTATCTGTCTACCTACCTATCTTATCTATTCTAGTTTGCTTCTCTATTGCTGTGAAAAAAACCCTCTGATCAAGAACAGGCTGGAAAAAGGTTTTATTTCACATTACATCTCCCAGGTCACAATCTGTTTTGCGGGGGAAGACAAGGCAGAAATATGGAGGCAGACACTGACGCACAGACTACGGAGGGACGCTGCTTACTGGTTTGTTCCCCTGATCTGTGCTCAGCCTACTTCTTATACAACTCAGGACCTCCTCTCCAGGGGTGGCACTGCCCATAGTGGGCTGGGCCTTCCCACCTCACTCAACAATTAAGAAAAATGCCCCACAGATATCCCACAAGTCAATTCCATAGAGGAAATGCCCCAGTTGAGGTTCCCTCTTCCCACGTGACTCAAGTTTGTGTCAAGCTGACACTAAAGCTATCCAATACAATTGACCCCTTGTCAGCTTGACACACAGAAACATCACTATTAAATCATAACTTTTCAATTTCTTGTCCCCAAGATATGTTTTGTAAATATTACAATATAAAATATAATACAACTTTAAAAGTTCTTAAAAATTCAAACACTTTAAAAGTGTTCAATATTCTCTTTAACATTCAAAAGCTCTTAACTATGGGATCTTGTAAAAACAAACAAACAAAAACTAAATTACACACGTTTTATCATCAAAAGGGAATAACTGAGGACTGGAGAAATGGCCCAGCGGTTAAGAGCATTGGCTGCTCTTGCAGAGAACCCAGGTTGGATTCCCAGCACCCACATGGCAGCTAACAACTGCCTATAACTCCAGTTCCAGGGGATCAAATGCCCTCTCTGACCTATTTGCATACCATGGGTACACTAGCATACATGCAGACAATACATTCATACACATAAAATAAAAATAATGAATAAAATTAAAAAGAAAAGGGAATAACTGGGCACATTTAAGCAAAACCAAAGTCCAGGATTATAGCTCAATATTCAACATCTGGAATTCACTCATGATCTTCTGACCCCTGAAAAGTCTTGGGCATCTCCACTTCTTTGGCTCTGCCATCCACAGCACATACAGCTTGTCTCATAGGTTCAGACTGGCTCTATAACAGCCACTGTCTTTGGTGGTCAGTGCGTGGTCCTGGCATCTCCAATATGCTGGCGTCTCTCTTGTTACTGAGGCTACACCATCACCAATGGCCTCTCCTGGCCTCACATGGTGCCTTAGATTCTCTCCATGACTCCTTCAGTTCTGAAGCTATTATGCTGCCAAAACTGGTACCATGTGGGGGACGTTTATACATTATTAAGTTAAGTTTCCATCTTGAGATGCAGTCTTGGCCCCCTCTGGAATGGTCCTGGCATCTCCAATATGCTGGGGTCTCTCTTGTTACTGAGGCTACGCCATCACCAATGGCCTCTCCTGGCCTCACATGGCGCCTTAGATTCTCTCCATGACTCCTTCAGTTCTGAAGCTATTATGCTGCCCAAACTGGTACCATGTGGGGGACGTTTACACATTATTAAGTTAAGTTTCCATCTTGAGATGCAGTCTTGGCCCCCTCTGGACCAACTTCTGTATGCTAACCCCCAGGGAAATACTTCCCAGAAGATCTCATCTCAATGATGCTGGTCCCTTATTAATTCAGTTGATATTTAAGCCCCAGCTAACCAGCATTGATTGTCCCAATAACAAACAAAAACTTTCAGTTCCACAGATTACTAATCCAAATATACCATGCAAACTGCCCTGATAGAGTCTTTGCTTCTCTATGAAACTTTGTAAGCCAGGCCTCTACCATCCTCATTTCCACAACAACAGTTCATTAAGATTTGGGCACTCAATGACTTTTCCAGGCCTAAGTCCAAATGCTGCCATAATCCTCCCCAAAACAACATGTTCAGATTCTTCATGCCAGTACTTCACTTATGGTACCAATTTCTATTCTAGTTTGCTTCTCTATTGCTGTGATAGAACACTCTGACCAAGAACAACCTGGGAAAAGGCTTTATTTCGTCTTACATCTTACAGGTCACGCTCCATCTTTGAGGGAAGCCAAGACAGGGACCTGGACTGAGGAACTAGAGCACAGACTATGAAGGAACACTGCTTACTGGCTTGTTCCCCTCACCTTTACTCTGCCTGCTTTCTTGTACAACCCAGGCCCACCTGCCCAGGGGTGACACCACCTATGGTGGGCTTGGCCTTCTCATAATGTCAACAATCAAGAAAAATGACTCACAGATACCGCATAGGTCAGTCCCATAGAGGAAATTCCCCAGTTGAGGTACCCTCTTTCCAAGTGACTCCAGTTTGTGGCAAGTTGACAAAAATTAGCTAGCAAACTACCTACCTACCTACGTACCTACCTACCTACCTTATCTATATTTATTGACAAAGGGTCTCACTACATAGATCAGATTGGTTTCAAATTCATCATGTAACCCAGGTTGGTCTTGAACTCACCATCTTCCAGCCTCGGATTCCCGAGTGCTAGAGTTATTGGCATGCACTACTGTACCCAGTTCTGACTACAAGAAATTAAAATGATCACCATTTGGAGATGACATGATCATACATATAGACAAACCAAAGTCTCCAGCACAAAACTCTTAGAGCTGATAAATGAATTCAACAAAGTTCCAGGATGTAAAATCAAAATGAAAATCTCAGTAGCATTTTATCTACCAATAGGAAGTTTAAAAAAATAAAGAAAACACTCCCATTTAGGATATGTAGAAAAATAAAGAAAATATTTTACAATAGATTTATCAATGTTAAAAATTTCTACAATAAAACTGATGGAAGCAATTGAAAAGAATACAAAAAATAGACATTTCATGTGCATAGATTAGAAGAATCAGTATTGTTGAAATGTCTGCACTACCCAGATACTCTATAGTCATTTTCTATCAAAATATTAATGGCATTTTTCACAGAGTAAGAAAAAAATCTTCAAACCTACATGGAAACCTGAATAGGCAGAGCAATCTTGAGCACAAGGGCTGCAAGGCATTCGCATAAAAGCAGATACAGCAAATGGAAAAGAATAGATAGACTAGAAATAAATCCACGCATGGTAGCCAGCTGACCTAAGAACGCACACTGGGGAAACACCTGTCTCTTCAGTAAATTATACTAGAAAAACTGGATGTCCATACTCAGAAGATTGAAACTGTCCCCTATCTCTTATCATACAGGAAAATAAACCTAAAATGAATTTAATGCAAAACCAGAAACTGTCAGAAGAAGCAGAGGGAAAATGTTTCAGGACCTTGGAAGTGGCAAGGGATTTTTAGATAGAATCGGCAAAGTACAGGAACAAAAGCAAAAGTAGACTAATAGGATTGCATAAAACTACAGAGCATTTGAAAAGCGATGAGAATAATGAATGAACAACCTACGGAAAGGGAGAAAATACTGACTAAATAACTGATGGGGTTAGTATTCAAAATGTGTAAGGGAACCAACTCAGCAGCAGCAAAAAAAAAAAAAAAAAAAATTGAATAGAAACAGGGAGACGGTAAAATTAAGTAGATGTTTCTCAGAAGACATGTAAGTGGTCACCAAGGACCTGAAAAAGAAATGCTCAACTTTATTAGTCATCAGAGAAACATAAATCAAAGTCACTGCGAGTTATTTCACTCCCATTAGAACATCTCTTATCAAAAGGATTGAAGTTAATAAGTGTTGGTGAGGGTGTGGGGAAAAGGGAACACTTGTACATTGCAGTTACATTGTACATAAATAAATACAGTCACCACGGAAAAGTATGGAGTATCAAATTCAAATAAGTATCAAATTCAAATAAGGTCTCATTTTAGCTGTGGTTGGGAATTGACACAAAAGAGAAGTTTTCTAGCTAGAGATGAAGATACCTGGGGAAGAACAGCACATCATTAGCACACCTGCTTGAATCTCTTGATCTCTTGAGCATCTTATCTATCCTCATGTTTTTTTCCTTCTTTTTGGTCTTTTTGAGATAGGGTCTCCCTGTAACCTCAGCTGGCCTGGAACTCATTATGTAGACCAGGCTGGCTTTGATCTCATAGAGATCCACCCACCTGCCTCTGCCTCTGGAGTGCTGGAATTGAAGGCGTGCACCACCACACCCAGCCTATCCTCAGGTGGTTTTTTTTTTTTTTTAACATTTTAAATATTCTGTGTCATGCAATGCCCATGAGGACAGAAGAGGCCATTGGATACCCTGGAACTGGAGTTATGGACAGTTGTTAGCTGCCATGTTGGTGCTAGGATTCAAACCTGGGTCTTTTGCAAGAACAAGCAGTGTTCTTAACCGCTGAGCCATCTGTCCAGCCCTTCCTCAGGTGTTTTTAAAGTGCCATTTGTTTCCTGAAGTCTGTGGAAATAGAGATCCTTATAGTTACTTGAGATTTAAACTTCAGGAAGCCACATACCTTGACAGCTTGCCTGGAAAGGTTTGTTAGTTTTTTCATAGGACTTCTGGTGTATTTTACTGTGACAACTGGAGCCAGTGCAAAAAATACCTTAATCCTTTTAGCCAATTCTGGATTTGTAGAGAATGCTATGAAAGCTGAAAAGTAAGGACATTAGCTGACACAACTTGAAACAATTATCTCTGCATCACAAATGCCTATAAAGGTAGTTACATCTAAAACAAGACAGAATGTATTTTTGAGGAAGAATTTTTAAGTTTTCTAAAAGGTGGAATTTGCTACTTCAAACTAAGGTGCCTTTCTTGTCCCTGGGGAGCACAAATGCACTTGTACAGAGTGCTGAAGAGAGGATTCAGTCATCCTCTGTAGAACATGTATAATTAAGCCCCAGGGACTGTACTAGCTTACCCATTCTACCTTGATCTTGGCATCATATAAAAATGGAACATCTTGGCTTCTAACTCATGAACCCCAAAAGTCACCTCCCTTGCAAGTATCTTGGTTTCTTCAATATGTAAATCAAGATAATAGAAGTCTCAGAGTGATTGTTACACGCAAATATAAGAGGATAGCATGTTCACATACATCTTCATATATATAAAATATATAAAAACAAATCTTAAAGTGCTACTTGATGTCATCATTCTTTGAAAACTTCCTAAATTCAGTCACCTATGAAATATGGATATTACAGTCTAGATGTTTGTGATTTCCAACAAGGGAGAAGAATGAGGGGCTGAGATGCCTGGTGGCTCCTGCCATCGTGGTTTTACCCACATCTGGCCTGCTCCATTGCCTCCATAGCAACTAAAAGTCACAGTGATTATTTATAGCATATAATCACGGTTCCATAATTCTCTGCTTTCATTTTAGTGTCCTTCTGACTGTGAGAGTATCAAGGGAGAAATGGGCGCTTTACTGATCTTCATTTCTTCAGAATGTAACCCAGGGTCCCAAAATGTTTGCTGAACATGAAATGAACAAATAATTTGTTCTCTTTAAGGCCTCTTAACCTGCAAATTGCCCACCATTCACTTTGCTGTACTTGTTCTTTAGGAACCAGATACAGGAAATGGTTTCTACAAGTTCCTAAACTAGAGATCAAAGAGAAAAGAAATGCTGACCCCTCTTGTGAAGACAGAAGATTTGCACCAAACACACCTATGGTGGTACCCTGGGAGTGGCCCACATAGTAGAGTTGCTTTTGCGCAGTCTTCTCTAAGATGAGATTGATTGTGGCTGGAAGGTCATATTTAGCCATCTCATCCAAACTGCCAAGGAAAAGAAACAAAATCAGAAAAGACATATCATTGTTAGTCCTGGGATATTTAAAACATTGGTTGCAGACATAGATACTCTGCTTTGGTTATATATGAGAGGGATGAGCGTGAGTCTGATTTGTGTCTGGGCAACTTTTGAGGGCATCCCCTCCATTGCAAGAAATTCTGCTTTCAGGAAACTAGAATAAAAAAAAATCTGATTTGAAAGGCCTGCCAATTATTCTTCTATGAGGCTAGTCATATTCTAGTTATCCCAAACCAGATTTACCAACTCTCTCTTTTTCAATATAGCAATGACATCAATTATTTGGAATGTTTAAATAACAAAACAAACAGATTTTTGGGTGCCATCCCCGATTCCACTGAAGCAGGATTTGCAGGCAGAGTCCTGGCAGTCTGTATAATATCAATGGCCTCAGGTGTTTCTGATCCTGTGTACAGTCTGGGAAACACTCACCCGGGAAATCATATTGTAAATCATCTTGCAAAAGTTCAATGACACAACTGACCTGGGGTGTGGAGTTAGGAAAAGGCAGATGACTTCCAGAAAGAAGCTAGGAATGAGGCAAGTGAACAGTGCTGTAGTGATCTCTGTGGTGTGGTTCTTAGTTCCTAAGGAAATGCATGGGTTTGTCCCTGTGACCAAGCAGGTCAGGCCTCTGAAAGAGACAGTATCCCCAAGCCTTGCAGGCAATGCTTTGCAATTTTGCAGCTCTAGGGTCAAGACAGACAAATAGACAGTCCTCCAACCCCGCCCCATTGGCTCACACCTGGAAGGAAACCCGGCTTTGCAAACAAGCAACTATACAATATTGAAAGCTATCTTCAGAGACTGTGAGGAAAGCCTGGAGGGAGGAAGAGCTGCTGCTTTTCCTCCTGGGGATTCCACTGGGTGGGTACATTTGGAAAGAAAAGGAAAAATCAGTGGATATTTATGCTTCGAAATGAACAAAGTAAACCCTTTACTCACTAACTGATTTCTCCTTACCTGAACGCCCAATATCGAGGTGATTCTGGTGACAATTTCAGGTGTTTTCTGGACCAGGTGTTTCCTCTGCTGTTGCCCAACCACACATCATAACCCGCATCAGCCAGAAGGAAGGCCAAGCTGTTGTTGGGCAGGTTACAAATCCAGTCACTGGCAGAGGCAATTAAGCCGTGCTGCAAATAAACAACTGGCTTCAGAGCTGCGAAACACAAGCAAAAAGCTCATCATGCTGGAACTTCCTCAACACCTATGAAAAAATAGCACAGCACAGAGTTTAAGAGATGAAATTTTTTGCCTGGTGAATCTACGATCTAGTCTTTTAGGAACTATTAACTCGGACATGCAATTTAAGATGAAGATTATGTGTAATGTATTATGCCATGGAGGTATTGCAGACAGATTATTCTGGGTCAAAATTTATTTTCCTAGGTATGTATGTGTTTCATTTAAATTATTTGTATATTGGGGAATAACAAGTTCTTTTTCATAGAGTGGGTTTAAGAATCAATTGAAAGCTGGAGGCGGTATTGCACACCTTTAATCCCAGCAGTCAGGATGCAAAGGTAGGCGGATCTTCAAGAGATCTAGGCCAGTCTGGTCTCCATAGTGAGTTCCAGTCTAACTAGGGTCACAGGGAGACGCTACGTCAGAAAGACAAGAAAAAAAATTCGATTGGAAATAAATATATGACTTTGCAGCAAATAAATATTAACTCTATGATTATTTTCATTTATAGTATTTTATTTCTCATGAAGCATCTTATTACAAAAGTTTTAGGCCTTCCAAAAAATATAAAAATGATAACAAAACTGTTCTTTGTTGAATACTGGATATCAGGTACTATGCTAGATTTGATAGCCGTTTTTTCATTTCATTTAAATTGTTAGAAAGCAAAAGGCAAGGTTCTGAGTAGAATTTCACAGAATAGAAAACTGGCTTGAAAAAGTCCTATGCCCAAATGGAGAACTGGAATGTTTTGGAATATTTAAAGAAAGAACAAAGAAAACCAAATAAATGAAGAAGAGGTATTGAAAAGGAAAAGAGGACGCATAACTAAGCTCTTTTGCTCCTTTATCAGTGGTTTATGATGCAGTTTGGGCACCCCAAGATGCTATTTCTGGCCACTTTTGAAGCTCCACTGCATCCTGAGAGGGCATAGGCTCAACGAATTCTTAAAGACACTTCAGCCTTCAGGAAGCAAGGAGCCAAGAGTCTCCATCCATTTCTCCATCTTTGGAGAAAAGCAAAAGAAGAGATTTTATGGACTGCATTGGCAAGTCACCATCTTACTTTACTGTCTCCCAGTCCCGAGCCATTAGGCAACGTCTCACTGGAGAGACCTGTATCTGGTATATTTTGGCAACTGCTTAGCAGAGATGGTAAAGGAACATTCAAGGAGATTTAAAAGATTTAATAATTTAAAATACTCTACGAGAATTTACAAAGGCAGCAGGAGACTTATTTTAGGAAATAGTTGGCTCTATAAAGTCAGCAACACCATTATATTTCCTTTAAAAAAAAAACTAAGAATTTTCTTGACACTTCTGATAGTGAGAAGTTTTTCTAAGTTTGCCAAAGAAGAAAAGAACATAAGGAGTGAGGGGAAAAAAAGCAAACTGTTTCAATAGAATGGATCAGTCTTGTTTCCTACAGGTTAGTAGAGAGCTAGAACGGGCTCTTTAATGAAGTAGAAGGACAGGATTGGTAGGATCATATTTACTTCAAAAAGTAAAATCACATTGATTGTGTGGGGATAGATTATAAATGAGTTAGCATCAATTATAAGATACAGTAATTAAGATTATGTTCAAACTTGAATTTGAACATTATTGAAGCTGAGTAAATATTGAAGCTGAATTTTCAGATTAGAGATAAGTTTAGAAGGCAAAATTGATAGGTCTTGGTGACTGGCTGCATTTAGGAGACCAATGAGAAGACAGGGTCAGGAATGACTTGTGGCTTTCTGATCTTGAGAACTACAGTGGGTGGTCCATAGGAGTAAGAACACGTTTTCTTTCATTCTGGTATTTGTTTAGAGGAAGGACAAAGACACGAAGAAAGACAGAGACCAAATAAATAATGTATATACAAATGATGTAACTGTTACACAAATTAAATAGAGGTGGGGATGAAGTTCTTTCTATGATGGAGAGGACTCTGATCTGTTTCCCCTATGTTCCTGCCAGGAAAGCTAGACATATCTGCTTTAGAAGTTTTGATTTCATAGCAGAGTGTAAACCATACCTGTTTCCCTCAGACAACCTCTTCCGTGAGGAATTCTATAAACTCCAAGGATATAGCCATCCTTTGTTACAACATCATACTTTTCATAAGAATAACCCCAGTAAGAAATAATTTGACTCTAAAAATGGAAAAGAAAAATGCATACTTATGATTCAGTTTGATTTTTGAACATATATTGCAATATAGTACTTTAAATTACAATCTATTGTTCACTAATCTCTGTGTTGAGCAGCACATAGTGGGAAAAAATAGAACAATTTGGAAACGATTCCTAGAAGGGATTATATAAAAAGGAATGTATAAGACGGGGGTGGGGGTGAAATGATCCCATCTCTAGAATATTGAGGACAGTATCTGGTTATGCTTGTTGGCTTAGTACTATCAGTGCACAGTAATTCATTCTTAAGATGTTTGACAATAAAATGTTTATATACTTGGTTAATGGGAGAAACTACAAGAGATTGTGGAGTACCTTGTGGCTAATAACAAGTGAGTTCCTACCAACTTGCCTCCCAAGGGACATGGAAGGAAGTGTTTATAAGAATTCAGGAAGAGAAAGTCAAGGACAACATCAAGGGGGGATGACTAAGCTGATTTCACAGGGGCAGAGCAATCATAATAAAACAGCTGATATCACTCTTCCTTTTTTTTTTTTTTTTTTCATTTCCTGCTCAAGATTTCCATTGGCTAAATGGATCGAAGAACCAAAGGTTGAGGGAGCTTTAGACCTAACCTTTGTAAATCAGCCTTTGGGGCAGAAAGAAAAATACAAATGAGCACAAAATGAGTTAGAATGGTCAAGAGACACTGCCCTACTCCCAGGCACCCATGTAAGCAGAGAACAAGTGTCTGAAAGGTGTGCGCATGCTCTACCTCATTTATAAGAATAAAGAAGAAGCTTCTGGGATAGAACTGCACATATTTTTGAAAGAATGGAAAAAACTGAAGTTCACAAAGGTTAATAGCTTTTCTAAGACTATACTTTAAGAAGAGATTAATAGAAAATTAAGGAGAAAGCAAGTTTAGTTACAAAGCCTGCCTACACCTTTATCACAAGGTCATACATTTGCTCATGTGAGGCACATAGTATATGTGCAAGTTATGTTGTTATGTAGAACAGTGGGTAAGAGCTCAGATTCCAGAGACAGACAGGGTGGCATGGAATGCCTGCTGTCCCTTTGATAACACATTGAAATACAGCATAGAATGAACATTTGTCGTCTTTTGTGCCCTCCGCCACCATTCCAATCTACTTCTGGTATGAATTTCTTTGGGTTTTAAGGGACAGAAACCAACCCTGGCTTATTAATTCAAAAAGTACACTGGCGTGGCTCACAAAATCAAAGAAGCTGTGCTACACAAAGGACCAGGAATAACTCAGAGGATGTTACAGATCACCAGTGTGACTCATGAACCTCCTCCTCAGGAAGTCCATTATATGGTAGCTCAAACCACCAGGAGTTGAATAATCCTGCTCCAACATGGGTCAAATATTTCAACTCTTGGATTAGTAAACCATGCTAAGGAATAGAAGAATCACAAATTTAGTCATTAGAGAAATTCCGAATACATAAATTGTATCTGAAAGGTGACCAATGAGTAATTCCTCATCTTAATGTTTTTCTCAATGACTGACTTACAATGTTCATATTAGCTTCAGGGTTTGTGGTGCTTCCTTTCCTGTAGCCATACAGAGGTCCAGGGAGAAGCACGCAGCACGCTGCTGCTAAAAGCTGCCACATTTGGAGTCTGTCTGGGAAAGGAAATGTTAACAGATTTGTCATCAAGGAGAATTCTACAAAATGAATTTTGGTGTGATCTTTTCACAGCACTTCTCTGAAAAAGAACAGTAAGTTGTGCTTTAGCATGTGACATGTTGAGTATTAGGGATTCGTTCAAGGAAAATTTTCATTCCATGAAAACCCTTATGTGGTGAGCTTTGGTAAGGGAAGAAGGAAATAAGGGTAGGAAGAAGGGAAGGAGGGATGAGAAGGGTGGAAAGACAGAAAGTATAAGGAAGACCAATCAAGTCCTCAGTAGATAACTGGACAAGAGAAAAGAGAGATAATTCCAGAAAGGAAAAAAACAACACATATGACTAATATGCTAATCAAAGAACACTTACTATTTCCAGGAATTGGATACATTGTTTTCTTTTTGTTGCTTTTTGTTATTGTATATTTTTGTAAACTCTTACATGTTCCTTTACCACCGAGTTATAACTCTGGCCGCATTAGATAGGTTGTTTAATTGCTTCCATTTTCCTAAAAGTAGGAGTAAGCATTGGCAAATCTATGGGTATATGTTCCTTTACATATCTTGCCAATCTTAAAACATTTGTATTGTTCACTTAATTTTAAGTGTATAAGTGTAAAAGTGTAAGTGTATAAGTATATAAGTGTAAAAGAAAATGTGTGCATATACCATGTAAAAATTGTTCTTTATGTTAGATTTTATTTCAGTAAAATTTTCTAAAATATAAGCCTAGTGAAGTAAATTATGGATGAGGAAGAATTGAATCATTCAGCCATAAAATACCATGTTTAAAAGACAGTTTAAGGGCTGGAGAGATGATTCCAAGGACCTGAGTTTGGTTTCCAACATGTACATTAGAAAGTTCACAAATGCCTGTAACTCCATCTCCAGGGGAGCCAAGATCTTCTGGCCTTCTTGGGTATCTGTACTCATGTGTCCGTACCTACATGCACACACACACACACACACACACACACACACACACACAAATATAAAGAAAAAAACTTTTAAAGTAAAGTTAGTATGGATTAATGACCTTAATGTAAGTTCTAAAACTTTGAAACTGTGGCGGATGGCACTCCAAAATATACAAAATGTCAAGAGCTTTCTGAAAAGAACTCCAATTCCAAGGAAACGGTATCAAGTGCTGAGAAATATGATTCATCACTGCACAGCATAGGAACCAGCAAAGAGACATCTTCCTGACTGAGAGGAAATGTTTGTCAGCTGTATGTCCAACAAAGGGTTAATATCCAGAATACATAAAGAACTAAACAGCTAAAAAAACGCCAGCCTCTCCCAAATAATGCAATAAATGAGCAAATGAACAGAGCAGTTTTCGAAAAGAAGTACAAATGGCCAATAATACACGAGAAAATTCTCAGCATCCTCGTCATTAGGTAAATACAAATCAAAATTATGTTTATATGCCTTCCAAAGTTTAAAACGTCTGCTTGAGAGGAGAAACTGCTTCATTTTCACTCTTTCTTCAGGACATAGCATGGAGGAGATTTTTATAAATGTATGTCAAAATAGATGGATGATGAGGGTTAAATGATTGCATCATTTAATTATAATGATTACCCCAAATTTCAGTTTGTTTCATATCTTATTTTCTGGATTCCATTTCACTTTTCCTTGTGGGTTTCTCTCTGAAAGGAAACTTTGAGAGTTGATCACGTCTTTAATTCAAAGATATAGTTTATGGTGTGGTGCATTGGCTAATCTATATTTTCAGTGTGATCAGATTTGGAATCACTGTGGAAAAGCACCTCTAGGTGTATCTGTGAAGTTATTTCCAGAAATGTTTAACTTAGGAGGGAAAAGCCACCTTAAGTGTGGGCAGCACCATCCCATGGGCTTGGGGTTCGGAACTGAATAATGTGTCAGCATTCATGTCTCTCTGCTTCCTGGCTGCAGATGCAGTATGATCAGCTGCCTCATGTTCCTGCCACCTTCCCTGTCCTGCCATGATGGACTTGTATCCTCAAACCACGGGCCAAAATAAATCCTTTTTTCCCTAACTTGCTTTAGACGGATATTTTGCCACAGCAAAAAGGAAAGTAATTTACTATAGGTGGTATTAGTGAAATTTTTAAAAAACGATATTCTGCTGGGTCTGGTGGTGCACGCCTTTAATCCCAGCACTCGGGAGGAGGAGTCAGGTGGATCTCTGTGAGTTCAAGGTCAGCCTGGTCTACATAGTGAGTTCCAGGACAGCCAGGGCTACAGGGAGACTCTGTCTCAAAAGACCAAAAAAACAAAACAAAACAACAACAACAACAAAAGAAAACGATATTCTGCCTCAAGACAGTGATGACGACCAAAAAAACAAAACAAAACAACAACAACAACAACAAAAGAAAACGATATTCTGCCTCAAGACAGTGATGACTTTGATTCTCTGGTACTTTCTGAGCGATTTACACTTTGAGGCTTCTGAGTCAGTATAGGCAGGTGAACCTGAGGTCTTGGGATAGAACAGACTCAGTTCTTTACTGAAATGGAACAGCTGGATAGCCAGTGGAAGCTTATGGCAGTGCAAGAGGAGGCTACATGACTAGCACAATATTTGGCTTATAGGAAGAGTTAGAGTCTATCCCTGGGAGTAGCACGAGAATGGACTAGTCATGACAGGTTGCCTTTTACAGTCAGGACATTAGAGGTCATCGGCTACCTTAGTTTCAGTCGCCTGTGTAATGAATGTGGGCATAGAAAGCTGACACACCCAGGAAGCATACATCTCTGTGTTCCATTTGGTAAGGAGTGGCAGGTTCAATCCAAATAGTTCCTTTTCAGGCACATTCACCAGCATTACTTGTTTTTCTCTGTCTAAGCCTCACATAGTGCGTGTCATTGTTGGGCAAATCTGCCTGATTGAGGTACTTATATTCTTATTTCTTCGACTTATATTTATCTTTTGAATAGTGTATCTTTCAATGCTGAGTTTGGAACCTAAGGCTTTGTACATGCTACCCAAACTGTCTACTACTAAGCTACATGCCTAGCCTGTGATCTTAGTTATAGAAAATAATGGACTTTATTATGAAATATATATGTGCAAGTGTAATGGCTAATCCTGGTTGTCAACTTGACACATTTGGGAAAAGGAACCTAAATTGAGGTGTTTTCTCCATCAGATTGGCCTGCGACCATGTCTGTGAGGCATTGTTTTGATTACTAATTGGTGTAGGAAGGCCCAGCTCACTGTGAGTGATGTCATCCCTGGGCAGGTGAGACTTGGATTTACAAGAAAGGTAGCTAAGCAACCAAGGAACAAGCCAATAAGCAGCATTTCTTCATGGTCTCTGCTTCAGTTCCTGCCTCCAGGCTCCTGCTAAGCTCCTGCCTTGACCCTCCTTGATGATGGACGACTGCCACCTATAAAGTGAAACAGACATTTTTCTCCTCAGCTTGCTATTGGTTAGTGTTTTATCATAAACAATGAGAATAAATAACGGTGCCAGAGAGTGAGACACTGCTGTGACAGATCTGATTATGCTGATTTTGGGGGAGGATTTGGAAGTTTGAAGCTTTGGGCTAGAAAAGCCATTTTGTGCTCATAGCTGAATGCACTTTTCTGTGGGAGCTTGGAACATAAGGCTGAGATAAAGGCAGATGATGGAGGCATGGCTTGTGAAATTTCAAAGGGAACTGTCCTAGTTTGTTCTCCATTGCTGTGACAAAAAACTCTGGCCAATACCAACTTGAAGAGGAAAGGGTTTATTCAGCTTACATCTCCTAGGTCACAGTTCATCAAGGAGCCCAAGGTCAGAACTCAGGGCAGGAACCTGGAAGCAGGAGCTGGAGCACAAGCCATGGAGGAACGCTGCTTACTGGCTTGCTCTCCTGGCTCCTGCTCAGCTTGCCCTCTTATCCAACACAGGCCCACCTGCACAGGAGTAGCACCACCCACAGTGGGCTGGACCCTCCTACATCACTCAACAGTCAAGAAAATGCCCCACAGACATGTCCACAGGCCAGTCCAATGGAAGAAATTCCCCAACTGAGGTTCCTTCAACCCAGGTGTGTCAAGTTGACACTAAAGCTATCCAGCACAGGAAGCAAGCCCTCTATCAGGGTCATTTGAGTGTTGTATTTGAGTTAGGAATCTGGGTAAACTTTCGCTTTACTGAGACAATTGATGCTGGTCAGCTGGGGCTGAAGAATCAGCTGTGATTAATTAGAGAGCAGGGCACAGAAGCTGTGGTCCGGAGGAGGCTAAGACTGCAGCTCGAGCCAGGAGTCAAACTTATGTGTAAGAGTATATCCCATGTGGTAATGGTTTTGAATGCATGAAGCAGTCATGGAGAGTAGCTGAGGCTTGGAACTGTGAGAGGCCAGGAGAGACCATTGCTGAATGTACAGCCTCAGTTGTAATGGGAACCCCAGGATTGAAGGGGTCATGGAGAGAACCTGAGACTTGGTACCATGCAGGAGAGTCGGCGTATCTACAGAGAGCCCGGAAGCC